CTTTAATCCAATGAATAAGATTGTTTGAATTAATAATAATAATAATAATAATAATAATAAACCATAAACTAAATAACAATGCTAACTACTAATTTCAAATAATACCGAATAACCTTACACGGTAAAAACTAATTATATTAGAATATATAACCAATTTTTAAATCCAAATATCAATATTTAATAACATGTATTTTTGAATTTTAAATTAGATTTTTGGTTTCCAAATATAGGTCTTAAGATTTAATCAAGTAAAATTTTAAATTTTAAATTAGATTTTAATAAACAAAATAACATTATTTAAAGTTGACACTTTAATTTTTTTTAAGAGTTGGAATTGATATGCATTATCCTATATCATTATTTTTTTAAAAAATATAATTATAATATTATATGATATTATAAATTTATAATTATAAATGAAAAATGCATATCAATTCTATATAAGTTTTATAAAAAAAAATGGGGTCTCAACTTATAAAATATCACCCTCTAATGTATTTTGAAACTAACAATAAGATTTAATATTTAATTGATATAAATCATATATATCAATTTTTAAGTTGATCTAATATCTATAATTATTTGATAAAAAAACATACATTTTCTAATATAGATTTAAAAGTGGTAAATATTCTATAATTAATGAATTAATTATATATATTCAATCAATTTGAAAATTGATATGCATAATTTACAAGAATTTAATACTAAATCTAAAATTGATATGCATGATTTACAAGAATTTAATACTAATTATTAGTTTTTGAAAATGAGTAGAGATCCACTCATCAACAAATTTTACGTACTACATTTATACAAAATTTTAACTATTTATCTCATTACTTTCAATAATTGAAATTTATTTATATTAATTAAAGATAAATTTGTTATTTAAAAAATCACAATAAATTTCAATAATTAAAAGTGGAGAAAAAATCATTGAAATTTTGTGTAAATGTAATATCTAAAACATACATTTAAATGGATCTCTCCTCCTTGAAAATATTCATCAAAGGATGAAGGTTTTGAAGTTAAAATTTCAATTTTTTTGAAGAGTCCAAACTAATATGCACTATTATTATTATTATTATTATTTTTATAAATGGAATATATTATTGCTCAATAGTCAGAATCATTACATAAAGCTGTGGGCAGAGAATCAACACAAACCCCCTCCTAAGGTGGAGAAGGTGAGAGAATATGTGCTAGTTTGTGAGTCAAAATGTTGTAGCTTCTCCTAACATACTTGATACAAAGAGAATTGAATCCAGTTTTTTGAGCTCGGAGGTCTTCAACAATAGCACCAAAAGGAAGATAATAGTCATCAACAGAGTTTGTAATAGCTATCGCCTGCACGTTATTGGATTCAATTTCTAGCTTTTTACATCCAAATTCCTTTCCCACCTGTAGCGCAAAATTAATTGCCATCACCTCTACTGGAAGAACCAATCCCTTAAAAGAGCAAATGCGTAGGGCAGCCCTTAATACCTTACGATCACGTTGTCAAAGGACTACTCCCATGCTAATTGAGTTTTGGTGTTGTGGAACAACAACATTAGTATTAATTTTAACTATATCCCCCTTGGTGGTTGCCAAACATCTGATGAGGCAGTTTCATTTGATAACCTAATCTGGTCATCAATTGCAGTTGTTGTGGTGTATTCCTTTATGTATTTGGAGATCCAAGTGACAGTGAATCCAGCTTGTGAGCATTTATGCTGAAACAAACAATTGTTCCTATTGTTCCATATACTCCAAAGTGTGACTACAACACGTTCCCTCTCTTTGCTATTGAGCGCCAAAAAAGAATTCAAGAAATCATCCAAGTAAGAGTCAGCTCTAATGTTACTGTTGTTGAAGAAAGGGCAAGAACTTGTCCAAACCCGTGCACTCTAAAGACAGTTAAAAAATAAGTAGTGCATAGAATCCTCAGCCTATTCACAAATATAGTAAGAGCTCTCAACTTCCACACCATGGCCTTGCAAAGCCACTCGCGTTGGTAAGATTTCTCAAATGAATTTCCAAAGAAAATGCTTAATTTTTGGCAATGTGTCCATAAGCCACACAACTTTCCATATTGGCTTTATAAGATCATTAAAATCATTGAAGTTTAACCCATAGACAACATCCCATGCATATCCATATGTAGATTTCACTATAAATTTGCCATTTGTCATATGTTGCTAAATTAAATGATCATGCCTACACTGTTTGCTCAATGGAATATGTGTAATTTTCTCTATAGTGTTACTTAAAAGCACCTGTTAGAGTTTCGTTAAATTCCACTGGCAAACACATTGATCAATTAGTGAGCTTACTCTGACATCCTCTGGAAGAGATATGTCTTCATGAAGATTGGAAAGCACATCGGTATTAGGGAGCCAATGGTCCCACCACATATGCATTGAAGCTCCATCTCCAATCTGCCAAAGGGGGCCCTTTTTTAAAACGATAAGGCTAGCCATGACTCCTCTCCACACCATAGATGGGTTTGTTCCTAATTCAACACTAAGCAAATCATCATTCTTAAAATATTTGGCTTTGAGCACTTGATAACATAAAGAAGAGTGGCAAGATTAAAGGCTTGGAAATCCCAAAATCTTAATTTGCCAAAGCTCTTCAGACGACATACTAAGTCCCATCTTAACTAGTGAATTTTTGCTTATTAGAGTTGTCACCCCACCAAAAATTACTAATGATGCTATTTAGAGATTGCAAAAAGGCTTGTGGTAAATGAAAACACCCCATACAGTAAGTGGGAATAACCTACACAATAGCTTTTATCAACACTTCTTTTTTTGCCTTAGATAACCATTTGTTCTTCCATCCCTTTATCTTTGACCAAATACGATCTTAAAGAGAAGTAAAACAAATGCTCTTACTTCGACCTATTAAGAGAGGCATACCGAGATATTTATCTTTCGCTAAAACTTGTGAGATGTTCAGGATCTCCATGACCCTTGTTTTCACATTACTGGGAGTGTTATAGCTGAACAAAATAGATGATTTATTCAGGTTGATTTGTTGTCCTGAAACTGCACCATATTATTGTAGAATATTTACAAGATGAGTAGCTTCCCTCTTAGTAGCCACTCCAAAAAGAAAGCTATCGTCAGCGAAAAAAACAAATGAGAGATTTTTGGAGCCCCCGACAAATTGTAGCCCCCCTTAGGCTTCCACTTTGCAACCCTTCCGTCAGTAATGAAGAGAGCCCCTTAGTATAAAAAAGAAAAAGAAAAGGAGATAAAGGATCTCTCTGCCAAATTCCTCGCAATGGGGTAAATTCCCGTGTTATTGAGCCATTAATCACAATAAAGTATTTTATAGTATGAACATAAGTCATTACTCATTCAACCTAGGTTAAAGGGAGTCCTATATCTTCCATCACCCTTTGTAAATATCCCATTCTACCTAGTCAAAAGCTTTACGCAAGTCTAGCTTAATGGCCATGTCTCCCTTGGTGCCTTGGCTTTTGTTTTTCAGATGATGAACCATCTCAAAGGCGACCATAACATTGTCATGTATTAGTCGCCCAGGGACAAACACACTTTGATTCTTTGAGATGATATTCGTGTTGAAAATTTTATGTGAGCTTCTGCTAATTGTATTTTAGTTTTTCTTTAAAATAGGTCAAATGGAAAAACCCATAAAGCCCAATAAAGTTATGTGATTCAAATGGGCTTAGGTTTTATCTCAGTTTTATATGGTGTGATATGAATAGGTGTAAAGCTTGGAATTAAAAGATGGGCTACTTGATGGGGGTGCCCAAAATATTATTATAATAGGGTTAGGTCTCCTTTCCCATTCAGAAAACTCTAGCTCTATAAATAGTAGAGTTAAGGAGCAACATGACCCATTAGTTGTCACTATATAGAAGTTGAATAGGGAGAGGAAGATTTAGCCTTTTAACTCTTTCTGTTTGTTTCTTTAGAAGGTATATAGATCAATGGCTTCCAATAATGGTACATGATTTTATTATTTAATTATTTAAGTATGGTGTTTAGAATCTAATTGTGTTAAATTTATGTATTTAAAAATTATTACCTGTGGTATCAAAGCCATCACAAATTAGTTCTAAAACCCATGAAATATATTAAAGTATGATATATGATTATTTATTCTATTATAATTGTTTGAAAATTATGATTAATAATTTTTTTAGGCATAATTTATTTTGGTTATAATTGGTTTCATCGCATTTCTATTTTATTGTGATTGAAATCATGATCCCCTGTTTTTTAGTAATATGCCCAATGTTGATGACATGGTCTTGTGATTCTCTTTTGGATTTCTTGTTCATGATTCTTATTATATTCAAGAAAGGACAATTTAGGGGAAAAGAGGTCGCAGATAGAAGTTAAGGGACAAATGCTGCAATTTTAGCTTTTAAGAAATTGCATAATAGTCCAAAAATCCGACACAGACTTGTTTTCAAAATAGGTCAAGCTGTCAACACTTATTTAGTTGTCAGCAATTCTACAAGTCCGACACGGACTTAAATTTTAATTGTGTGAGAGTGTCGACATCCGGTTTAGGAGTTGACACTTGGGCAAATTTTTAGTGAATTATTTTCACTAAGACTATATATATAATTAAACCTTTAAAAATATACTAATCTTGTGGACATGAAAGGGTTGCCTCAGTTAGGTGAGTTACAAATTGTTATGAATAACACTACCAAAGTGGGTCATTTATAGATTATGTATGTGAGTTATCTAAAAAGGATTTTGAGATGGTTGTTTTTTGAATTAGTACAAAATAATTACCTGCCTAAAGGGGGTATATTGTGGGTACTAGTTTAGAAAATGTGAGTGGTTAGTGAGTGTTTTAATTTAACTTTATGGAGACATGTCCGCCCAAAGGGAATATTATCTATGAAGTTAGCCTTACTAATTTACTTGTTAGGAAGTTTAGGTGTATATTTTGCCCAAGGGGGATTTTTGGTGATACATTTGAATTTCTAAAGGATTTATTATTGATATTATTGTGATTGCCCATGTAATCTAATCAAGTGCCTAATTTTTGTTACACAATTAGTCAGATTGCAATAAATAATTAGATTTGCACCATAGAGACTCTAAATGGAAATAACTTCATTGCTTGGAGGAATGATATAGCGTTAGCATTAGGTTTAGTTGATCTTGACATGGCCTTGTTTGAGGATGAGTGTACTAAACCCAAAGTTGACAGTTTAGCTGAGCAGAAAGCTCATTATCAGAAGTGGGAAAGGGCTAATAGGCTGGGTATACTGGTTATGAAGAAATCTATTTCTTCATCCTTAAATGTGAGTGTTCCAAATGAGACAAATGCAAAGAAATTCCTTGATGCTATTGGGCAATGGTTCCAAGAATCTGAGAAAGCTGAGACTGGGCAACTGATGCAAAAGTTATGCAATATGCAGTATGATGGTGGTGTCTTGGATTAGGGCTCATTTTGAAAATGCAAGACATTATTGATCATCTCAATTGTCTCAAAGTGACCATAATTGAACCTTTCCTTGTTCACCAAACCTTAAATTCCCTTTCTACATCTTTTGGCCAAATTAGAACCATATACAATGCTTAAAAGGAAACTTGGAATGTGAACCAACTTATTTCTATTTGTGTTCAAGAAGAAGAAAACCAAAAGAAACAAAAGGTAGATAGTGTGAATTTGGTGTATTAGCCACATTTAGGTAACGATAATCATAGCAAAGGATATTCTCACCACCACAAGAGGTCTGGGTTCAATAATAAAGTCAAGAGTAGGAAGTTTGATAAGAAACCTAGTTATAAACCCAATGTGGTTGGACCTAAAGCTGATATCAAGAAAATTGAAGTCTGTTGGTTTTGTCATGAAGGAGGTCACCGGAAAAGGGATTGTGCACAGTATAGGGCTTGGTTAGGGAAGAGAAACAAAAAAGGGCTTTGTAAACAAAAGGAAAAAAAATGAGTGAGAAATCAATTTGCATGTAGGAAATGGAGTCAAAGTCAAAGTAGAGTTCATTAGAACTGTTGTTTTAAAATTTCAATCTGGTTCTAGTCTTATTTTAGAAAATACTGTCTACGTCGCGTCAATGAGATAGAGTTTAGTTTTTCTTTCAGAACTTGATGAAGTTGGTTATCATTTTATTTTTCACAATAAAAGGGTTGAACTTTTTCATAATTCAAATTACATTGGTGAATGTTTTCTTTAAGATGGTTTGTACAGACTAAACTTATCCACAGAAATTTATTGTTTTGATATTGAAAAGACTTGAACCAAAAGGGTTTTGACTAAGGAAAAATCCTTTTCTTTGTGGCATAAAAGGTTAGCTTATATCTCTAAAGAAAGAATTGTTAGATTGATTAAAAATGAAATTCTTCCTAATTTGGATTTTGATGATTTTAAAATTGTGTGGATTGCATTAAAGGTAAGTTGACCAAAACAACAAAACATGGTGCTACACATTCAAGTAGTGTGTTAGAATTAATTCACACAGACATTAGTGGACCTTTACCTCACACCTTATGTGGTAAAAGATTTTTTGTAACTTTTATATATGATTTTTCTAGATATGGATATGTTTATCTAATTGATCAAAAATCTGAGGCCTTAGACAAGTTTAAAATTTTTAAGGTTGAAGTTGAAAAACAACTTGGGAAGGTTATTAAGGTTGTTAGGTCTGATCATGGTGGTGAATATTATGGAAAACATGGAGACTTAAGTCAGTCTAAGGGACCTTTTGTTGATTTCCTACAGAATTATGGTATTGTGGCACAATATATAATGCCTGGAACCCTTAAACAAAATGGTGTGGCTAAATACCGGAATCGCACTCTCAAGACATGATGAAGAGTATGATGAGTAGAAGTAAGTTACATGAATCCCTTTGGGGGGATGCTCTGAAAACAACATTGTATATCTTAAACCGAGTAGCTAGTAAATCTATGTCAAAAACACCTTTTGAACTATGGGCAGGTAGAAAACCCAGTTTAAATCATTTAAGAATTTGTGGGTGTCTTGCAGAAATTAAGATTTATAATCCTAATGAAAAACAGCTTGATCCTAGAACAACACCTGGATTTTTTATTGGTTACCCAACAGCTTCTAAAGGCTATAGGTTTTATTGCCCAAGAAATAGCACGAGAATTGTTGAATCTATGACAACAAAGTTTCTAGAGGAGGATGTTAGAGATAGTGCTTGTTCACGTGACAAGGATAGTCTTTTGTCAAGTTTAGAGAAACCTTCAACAATTGTGCAATTATCTAATATATATGAGGAGGTGGTACCAATGTCAGAAAGTAGAAACCAACAAGTTGAGACGAATCAGCCTATATCTTCTGATAAATTACAAAACCCTCAACTAGATCCTATAGTTCCCACTATAAGGTCTTAGAGAGAAAGGAGACCTACTATATCAGAAGATTTTGTAGTCTATTCAGGGGAAGCATATTATGACTTTGGGATAGTTGTAGACCCAATAACGTTTTTGAAGCCATTAGAAGTCCACAATTATATAAATGGCAGTTTTCCATGAAAGAGGAGATGTCATCTATGTATGGTAATGGAGTTTGGGAATTGGTGGAAATTCCTGTTGGTTTTAAACCCATTGGTTGTAAATGGATTTATAAAACTAAGAAGGATGCAAAAGGAACGATTGAAAGGTTCAAGGCTAGACTAGTTGCAAAAGGGTATACATAAAAGGAAGGAATAGACTATAGAGAGACTTTTTCTTCAGTCTCTTCTAAAGATTCTTTTAGAATTATAATAGCTTTAACAGCACATTGTGATCTTGAGCTTCATCAAATGGATGTTAAGACTACTTTCCTAAATAGGGACTTGTTAGAAGAGGTGTACATGATGCAACTCGAAGGTTTTGAGGTAGAAGGGAAGGAGCACATGGTATGTAAATTGAAGAAATCTATTTATGATTTAAAACCTTCTAGACAATGGTATCTAAAGTTTCATGAGGTAGTCACATCCCTAGGTTTTGTGGAGAATACTATTGATAATTGTATATATCTCAAGGTTAGTGGGAGTAGGTATATTTTCTTAGTATTATATGTAGATGATATTTTACTTGCTAGTAGTGATATGGAATTATTGTTGGATGTCAAAAGGATGCTTTTTAAAACCTTTGACATGAAAGATCTAAGAGAGGCTACCTTTGTTCTTGGTGTAGGGATCCATAGGGACAAATCTAAGAAAATGTTGGGACTTTCACAAAGAGCCTATATTGATAGGGCTTTTGACAAATTTGGTTGAAAGGATTGTAGACCTAGTGTGGCTCCATAAATGAAAGGTACAAATTGAGTACTGAACAATGTCCTAAAATAATCTTGAGAAGGAGCAAATGAAGGGAGTTCCTTATAGCAGTGTTGTCAGGAGTTTAATGTATTCACAAGTGTGTACTAGACCAGATATGGCTTTTGCAACTAGTGTACTTGGCAGATATTTGTCTAATCTTGGTTATGATCACTGGATTGCTGCAAAGAAAGCCTTGAGATATTTATGAAAAACAAGAGATCACATGCTTATTTATAGAAAGGTTGAAAATTTAGAAGTGAAAGGATTTGTAGATAGAGATGGCAATTTCCCCCAATCCCCGTCATGGAAACGAGGTGAGGAGGAATATTCTTCCCCACGGGGTGGGGATGGGGAGCATTTACCCGTTGTGAAATGTTGCAGGGAATTTTCCCTGCCTCGTGGGGCCTCGCGGGGATCCTTGTTCTTGCAAAAATTAAAACAAATATAAATTAATTTTATTTTAAATTTAATTTACCTTTCAAACTCAAACCCAAACCCAAATTCAAACTCAAATTCGAACCCAAACTCAAGTTCAAATCCAATTCAATCAAAATTAAACTTAATACAATTTTACCCAACCTAACGCAACCCAACCCAATTCATAAAAATTAACCCAACCCATTCCTCTACTTACATTTAACCCTAATCTTAATTCATTTCTCAATTTTCATTTTCACCTTCCCCGGCTTGCCTTCTCCTTCTCTTATGTGACTTTACCATCTGAATTCCCTCCATTCCATTGCCACCCTTCTACGATTCTACCCTTGCCCTTCTCATTGCTCACCTTCTGCCACCCCTTATTTTCTCCTTTGCATCAGCTGAACCTCTCAAATCCCATTCCTTTCACTGCATTGCTAGTCTGTTGCTGCTGAAGCCATTTGCCTGCTGCTGCCAAACTACTGAAGCCATCTACTTGTTGCTATCTGGACTGCCGAAGCCATATGCAGTTTTGTTGCAGCCTTGCCCTTTTTGGTATCATTTTCTTTATTTTTAAAATACTATTTTTTTTATGTTAGTTTAATTATTTTATTTATGTTGGTTTAATTTTTGCTTATGTTTTAGTTTAGCTTGGATTAATCTTTGTTTATGTTTGGAACAAATTTGTTAATTGTTGATTTAGTTATTTATGTTGAATTGATTTTTATTTATAATTGGACAATTTATATTTAAAAATTTTAGTTAATTGTATTTGAATTTTTAGAATTTTATTCATTATAATTGAATATTAATTAATTATATGTAAAAGACAAAAAAAATTTATAATTTAATATTAATTGGTGGGAAATGGGGATGAAGGCAAAATCTGCCCCCCATCACAAATCCCCGCAAGGATCCCCGTCCCCGCCATTCGTGGGGACGGGGACGAGGATGAGGAGGGACTCCTTGGCCTCGCGGGGCCCCATTGACATCCCTATTTGTAGATGCTGATTTTGCTGGCTGTACAAATGATAGGAAATCCACTACTTGTTACATATTTATGCTGGCAGGTGATGCAATCTCTTGGAAAAGTTCCAAGCAATCTATTCCAACAGCTTTTACGATGGAAGCTAAGGTTATAGCTTGTTTTGAAGTAGGAGGCTATGCCAAGTGATTGAGAAATTTTGTTGCAGAATTGAAAGTGATTGATTCTATTTCTAAACCACTTAAAATTTATAACGATAATTCTTTTGTAGTATCAGTTTCCAAAAGCACATAGAATATTGGTGGTGCAAAATTTATAGAGTTAAAATACTTCAAAATTAGGCTATGGGTTGATAATGGTGATATTGAGTATAAGTATATTGGTACAGAAGATATGCTTGTTGACCCACTAACAAAAGGACTTAGACCCATTGACTTTAAAAGACATGTGAGAAACATGGGGTTATCATTTTCTTTAGATATACTAGGTTAGTGGGAGTTATTATTTTTTTTTTTATAAGACATTATGACTATTCAATATTTACAATAATAAAGCTCATATTGCTAGACTTCATATTATTATGTGCTCTTATTTTTATGCACATGTTTGCTATGAATTCACACTGGTATATATATATATATATATTGGTATCATATATGTGTGTGTGTGTGTGTGTGTGTGTGTGTGTGTGTGTTTTAGATATAAAGGTTATAAGGCTTCTACTTAAGTGATTAATTTAAAAGGGTTGGGAGTTTACTCTTGAGTTTCTTTGGAACTGAAATAAAAGTTTGCCCATGAGGAAGTATGAAAAGAGTTCTTTGAAATCATAAAAGGACTGTTGTGGTTTTAATATGTTATCTATATATATTATAAGGATCATGTTGTGTCAAACCACACTACACTTTATCACACCTATTTGAATTCATGTTAGTGGAGATATTTGATATTTTGTGATTGTGAGGGATCTTGCATTGAAAAGGGATGCAATGATTACCACAGTTCAATATTGATATTTCCATTGAACGGTATTTTTTATTGAGATTTTAATTTATATTTGTGGCTACTAAAGTTGTGTTTGACCTAAGAGTCAATTTTAAAGTATGTTTTTTTTTTAAAAAAAAAAAATTTAACCAATTAGCATTACCCAAGTGGGAGAATGTTGAAAATTTTATGTGGGCTGCTATTAATTGTATTTTAGTTTTTCTTAAAAATGGGTCAAATTGAGAAACTGGTAAAGCCCCAATAAAGTTATGTGATCCAAATGGACTTAGGTTTTATCTTAGTTTTATATGGTGTGATATGAATAGGTGTGGAGCTTGGAATTAAAAGATGGGCTACTTGATGGGGGTGCCCAAAATATTATCATAATAGGGCTAGGTCTCCTCTCCCGTTTAGAAAACCCTATCTCTATAAATAGTAGAGTTAAGGAGCGACATGACCCATTAGTTGTCACTATACAAAAGTTGAATAAGAAGAGGAAGATTTAGCCTTTTAACTCTTTTTGTTTGTTTCTTTTGAAGGTATATAGATCAATGGCTTCCAATAACGGTACGTGATTTTATTATTTAATTATTTAAGTATGGTGTTTAGAATCTAATTGTGTTAAATTTATGTATTTAAAAATTATTACAATTCAACAATAGAGGTTTTAGACGATTGGTCAACATCTTCGAAATGAGTTTGTAAATCACATTGCAAAGGCTAATTGGTCAAAAGTCCTTCATGGCAGTTAGATTTTTTGTCTTCGGAATTAAGACAATATTCACTTTCTTAGCCATAATCCCCTCATTCAAGAATTCTAGCACTGCCTTTGTGATGTTATTCCCAATAATTGGCCAATAGTGCTTAAAAAAGCCGACATTCATCCCATCAGGACCAGGGGCCTTTGAAGAGTGAATTTTTTTCATAGCGAAAAAGACCTTCTTTGTTGTGTATTGCCTATCCATTGCCATAGCCTCAGCTTGAGAAACCTTTTGCTGAATCTTCCTCAATATATGGAGGGATCTACTTTAGCTTCTGAGGTAAAGAGACCTTGGAAATAGGTTAACGCAATCTATTCCATGCCATTCTGATCTCTTACTAATTGCCCATCTGTAGACTGCAATTCTAAAATGAAATTCTTTTTTCTCCTCTGAGAAGCTCTTGTGTGAAAGAAAGATGTGTTTTTGTCCCCTTCCTTAAGCCATTGAACTCTAGATCTCTGTTTCCCATAAACCTCTTCTTGTTTTTGTAGATCCCATAATTCTTTCTCCAATGCTTCTAAATATTCTAAGCTACAATCACTAGCAGTACCATCATGCACCTGTTGTAGGTTAAGCTGCAACTTTTTAATTCACTCAAGTATATTCCCATATTTATGAGCATTCCAATCCTACAGTATAACTCTACAATGGTTCATTTTGTCAAGTACACTGTCCATTACTAAAGTACCAATTCGTTGATTCCATGCTTCTTTAACAACAGTTTCACACTCATTATCCTAAGGCCAATAGTTCTCAAACCGAAATTGCCTTATTCCTTTCGTACCAATCCACGGCAAGCTACATTGTGTTGTCAACAAAATAGCTGCATGATTTGATCGAATGGTAGGAAGGTGATGGGAGATAGAGCCTGGAAACTGTTCTGCCCATTCACAACTCATGAATACTTTGTCAAGTTTTTCTCTCAATAAACTACCTTGTTGCTTTCGTACAAAAGTGAAGGGAGATCCTTTAAAGCCTAACTCAAAAAAACCACAATATTTTATGGCTTCACAAAAGGATCCTCTCTGGCATTTAGATCTAGATTTCTCACCCATCTTTTCTGCTCGCTTCATTATTTCATTAAAATCATGAACACAAACCCATGGTAAAGAAGATGATGATTTTAGCGATTTGAGAAGCGCATAAGATTCATGGCGTCGACTAACATCTAGTTGCCTGTAGAACCTAGTCAAGTGCCAGCAGACGTCTATCAAATCTTGGATTTCCATATCTACATGAGATTGAGAGTACAAGAGAAGTTGGATTTGTACTTTCTCATTTCATAACACTGCCAATCCCCCACTATGACCATTACTGCCCACAGAAAAACAATTGGAGAAACCTAATTCCAATCGGATTCGGTACATCTCTATCATAGTTCGTTTTGTCTTTGAGAGGAACAAAATTTGTGGTGTGTGAGATTGGAGGAGTTTTTTTTAGTTTAGAGATTGTGAGTGAGTTGCCTAACCCTCTGCAATTCCAAGCCAAAATCTTAGCTGAAGCCATAACATTGGTAAGGAATCAAAAACACGAAAAAGAGGAGAAAAAGGCCCTTTGACAAGGAGGAAAACGCCTAAGCGAGAAGCTCACATAGAACG